AGCTACATACAAGGTCCAACAGATAGTTTAGCATAAGTAGTTAGCACATACTCTAAGCCTGCAGTGTTTCCCAAACTTGGGACGCCGCTTGTGTAGGGAAAGCCCCTGGTGGGCCGGGCCGGTTTGTTTACCTGCCGCGTCTGCAGGTCCAGCCGATCATGGCTCCCACTGGCTGTGGTTCACTGCTCCAGGCCAATGGGAGCTGCGGGAAGCTTCCCCTACACAAGCGGAGTCCCAAGTTTGGGAAACACTGCTCTAAGGGACCAGTCAAAGTGAAGTGGCCTGTTAGAATAAGTGTTAACTATTTACGCTATTACTTGTCTAACCAATCAACATGGATGGAATTTTGAATAGCAAATATGCTCAGAGAACTGTTTGTGATCAAGCCACAGAATGAAAAAGAATAATTGAAAAAAAAATGTTGAACAAATTCATACAATGAATACACAAAAGGAAATTATGATTAGGTCATGGAAAGTCTGTGAACAGAGAAAGAAAACTAAATAATTCACTATGAGTTAATCCCGCAGCTCTAGTTAGGGGATGACAGTGTTTTTAGTCGTATGTACTTTCCCAAGATCTGATTAACATATGCCACACAAAAAAATAGGCTCATTTACAATCCAGAAGAATATTGGAGTTGACTGTGCCAGATGCTGCCCTCCATCAATCCTCTGCTCAATGGTTGAATGGTGCCTGCAGTCATCAGCTTAAGTCAAGTCATTTATGTATTGCAAGAATGTTCATTACTGTTCCCTGGTCTCCCACTGACAAGTTTATTTGACAGGAGGTTTTACACATCATAGGACCAGTTCCTGAGAAGTACTGGTAATTCTCAGTGAAGACAGGCTTTGACTCACGGTGAGGGTCAGAATTTTTCTTTAGCTCGGCCTATGAAAGGACACTTTTACCAGAACCTCGTTGGTCTAGAAACAGGGCTGTGAATCATAGAAATGTTGGGCTGGAAGGGACCTCAAGAGGTCATGCAGTCCAGCCCCCTGTGCTGAGGCAGGATTAGGTAGATCTAGACCATCTCTGACAGGTGTTTGTCTAACCTGTTCTTAAAAAAACAGCAATGATGGGGATTCCACATCCTCCCTTGGTAACCTGTTCAAGTGCTTAGCTATTCTTCCAGTTACAAACTTTTTCCTAATAGCCAACCTAAATCTCTCTTGCTGCAAACAAAGCTGATTGCTTCTAATCCTACCCTTGGTGGACATGGAGAACAATTAATCATTGTCCTCTTTATGAGAACCTTTTAGACATCTCCAGACTATTATGTCCCCCCTCAGCCTTCTCTTCTCTAGACTAACATAGCACATGTTTCCCAAACAACTTCTCATTTTTTGTTGCTCTCCTCTGGACTCTCTCCAATTTGTTGACATCCTTCTTAAAGTGTGGTGCTCAAAACTAGACACAGTACTCCAGCTGATGCCCCACCAGTCTAAGTAGCTGGGACAATTACCTCCTATCTTGCACATGCCACTCCTAACACATCCCAGAATAACAGAATCTCTCAGTATCAGAGCCCTGAACCATATATAGGCACCTAAATGGGAGCGGGCTGGTTGTTGGGGGGTTCTGAGCACCTTCATCTCTTTGTCTCCAGCAGGCGTTGTGGGTGCTTGCCCCTTGCCCAGTGGAGTGTCTGACTTTGGGTGCCAGCTCACAGAGGTCCCAGGGAATCAAGAGGCTTGTCTCATGGAGCTTCATCTGGGATACCATCCACATGTTTATCTTATGAGCATCTCAGTGCCAATCTGTTTGCACATCACTCTTGGTGCAAGACGGGTTGGGCTGGGTTTCCCGCTAGCTGTTTCACCAGTGGCTCAGTGATAGCAGTGTTGCATCACAATTAAGGGAGCTTAGTTTGCCTTTTCTGTTTTAAAATGTTACTGGCTGATGTAATCTGGACAATTTTATAGATAGAGAGACAGCAAACCGCAAAATCAGGGCCATTCCAAGATTGACAGGTGGGACTGTTACTGCAGTGGCTGATCAAAGCACACCAGAGGTAGGTAGAGTGCTCTGGGAACCAAAAAGAATGCCTGCTGGAATTGAGGATGCTCATTGCTTGCTGAGTTATTAACAGTGTCCAATCAGTAACCTCTGTTTTGGGGCTGATTTTTTTAGTCCTGGTTGATTGGTTGGGTTTTCTATCACCAATCTGTCAGCAGGATGAAAGGCTGTTGTGTCAGTTCACCTCCCTTCACTTGGCCCTGGGTTTTCTGCCTCGCACTCCTTGGAGAAAATTAAAAAGAGGAAGATAAACAGTTTGGTAACTTTGCAAATCCATTTTCTCCCATGGCCCACTGGGTCCTTGGGTTCTCACATGAAACTGCCAATAAAACATACCATCCCTGATACTCCTAAACTATTCTGTGACTCAATAACTTGATGACAACCCACTGGGGGGAAGCTTTGGGCCTCATGCCCAATTTATTAGCCATGTAGCTGCTGATGCTGTAATGTTCTTCATGGAGGTGCTGCCTGGACACCATAGACTCAGCATGCTTACAGGTCCAGCAGAACATATGATGAAGATCTACTTGGTCGCCAGACATTTCACTCCTGGATGTTGGGGTAGCAGCAGCACCGTTACACAGCAGCAAATGGACTACTTGAAGGGCCACATCCTCAGCTGGTGTAAGTCAGTGGAATGACATTGATTTCAGTGGAATAACACTGATTGATATCAGATGACTACCTGACCCAAGCGTCTAGGCATGTCCACACCACCTCTGGGATGACTGAAAGAGACACTCGGGCAACTGTTCCTGGCCGATCATCTCCTGTATTGCATCTTCCATTGAGCAAGAGAATTAATATAGGGAATTTGCTAATAGAGAAAGTTAAATCAAAGATCCGAAAGCTGGAAACCAGACCAAGCCATGACTTGTTGCATTCCCAGACTCTCTCCATTGGTTGCCTGCTGCTGGACTGACTTATCACCAAATGTTCTCTCCTTATAGCTAAACAAATCATCTAACTCTACCTGATAAATTTTTCCAACCTCTCAGGCACTGATAGGCACTGTATGTAATCAGATTTAAATGCTTATCATCTGATCCTGCTGTCCTTACATGAGCAAAATGCCTGCTGGCCTGAGTGGGCATTTTGCCAGCAAAAGACTTCGGGATGGGGCCCTTAATCTGAATATTCTATTTCCTCGCTGAAATCCGTGGATCTTAAAAAAATGAGGTGGGGTTGGAACATGGATGAGTTGGTGGGACTTGGTCTGGTGTCCTTATAAAAAACTTGGCCACTCTGCTGATACTACCAACAAAGGGGCCAAATGAGGAGCTAAGGACTGAATGGGTCTTGGAGGCTGAATTGCCCTTCTTTCCAGGTCAGAGTTGAGAGGAACATGGTGCCTAGGATGTGAGGATGCTACTGCACAGAATACCTGTTTCAGGGGTGAATCAACTCTTTCTTCTCAATCCAGCACTTTCAGCCAGCACTAAAACTTTCTTTTCAAAGAACCAATGTTTGGAAGCTGAAGTCAGACAAATTCAAGTTAGAAATAAGGCACGCTTTTTTAACAGCCAGGATAATTAACCCTTGGAGCAAGCTGCCATGGGAAGTGGTGGATTCTCCATCTCTCGAAGTCTTCAGATCAAGGCAGATACGCCTTAGTCAAACACGCCATTGGGATCAATACAGTAGTAACTAGCTGAAATTCTATGGTCTGTTATTCAGGAGGTCAGACTAAATGATCTAATGGTCCCTTCTAGTCTCAGAAGTCTATGTGTCTACGAAATACAGAGAGGAAAGGAGGTGATATACTTAAAGGGGCACTCGAATGAAATATGTAACCTGCAAGGAAATTTTCCATTCCTTTAGCTCTCCTTCTGCACTCTCCCGGTTGCCTGAGTTATCATCAACCGCCACACAGCACCCGTCCCTGTGCTCCCTCAGCACCAGTTGCACTGAGAGGGGTTAGCAGATATAAGACGTCAGACTCCCGTTGTGCAGTTAGTGGCATACAGCAGGGACACGTGCATTCTAAGCTGCTTAAACCTGGCTCTGGCTGATGTGCCTGGGACGTGCTAGGGAAGAGAGGCTGCGGGCCTGGTCAAATGAGACAGTTCCTGAGGCGTTTTGGGGGTGGGGGGCGTGGAGAATGAGATCTCACTGAGCAAATTGGGTGTTTGTTGTTACCTGGAATTGAGTCAGAGGAGGGTCTGAGAAAAATAATATTACTCAGTCCTAATAACAGCCCTGGTAGGCAGGCATCATTATCACCGTTGTACAGATGGGCACACTGAGGCTGGGAGCAACAAACTCAAGGACATACGATGAATTGGTGGCAGAAGCAGGAGTAGAATTCAGGCATTCCTGGCCTCTAGCTTCATGCTCAGACCACTCAGCCACACTGACTGCCTAGAAGCAGCTCCTGGAAATAATAAACAGCCAGTTGCCTGAAGGGTTTATGTTTGAGAGCTGGGCCTACCCTGTTTGTAAAATATTATTATTCATAATGATCATTTTGTATCCTGACAGCACCCACTATGTGCCAGGAACTTTCTAGACAAATATGATTGCAGGTTCCTCCAGACTCATGGGGCTTTGAAAGTCCAAGGGTTGGAAAAGCGACATAAGATGACTCCATCTGAAGTAGCCTGAGGTACCATTTTGGATGTCGCCAGAGGGCGTACGCCACCTGAAAGCTGATGACTGACTTTACAGTGCCTAGAAATTTGATTCTTAGATGAGTATGTATGAGCTCATCACTAGCACTTGGTGAAGCAACTTTGGCCTGACTGGTATCTGGCAAAGGGTGCTGTTTCGCTCAAGTAGAAAGTGAATGTGTCAGACACTGACAGGCATTCAGGCTGGTGAAGTATTTCAATATTTGCTAACAGGGCCTTGGTTGGTGGCTGGTTGGGATTTGTGAGGAAGTGCTCCAAACATTGGATATCTGTGCAACATCGACCTAATTGCCCTGTATTGCACATGTGAGAGGATGTCACTCAGCTCCCTGTCTTTCTTTTCTCTAGGGCTGATAGTCTACCTGGGAATGATGGTGGGAGCTGTCATTTGGGGTGGCCTGGCAGATAAACTGGGAAGGAAGAAATGCCTCATCATATCACTCGCAATCAACGCTGCCTTTGCATTCCTCTCCTCCTTCGTCCAGGGATATGGATTCTTCCTCTTCTGCCGCCTTATCTCCGGCCTCGGGTGGGTAACACTCTCTTTAGTCCCTCAGCTCCAGGCTGAGGTTTAAGGTGGGAGAACCCTTTGTGCTAGATGAGACTGCACAATGATTTGGGATTGCCAGCTGAGGAAATGGAAGGACTGACTGAACAGGTTCTACACAGCATGTGTGTGTTCTAAATAAAATGTTCACATCACCCTGGAAGGACCTAGAGCAGGGGTGGCCAACCTGAGCCTGAGAAGGAGCCAGAATTTACCAATGTACATTGCCAAAGAGCCACAGTAACACATCAGCAGCCCCCCTCCCATTAGCTCCCCCCCCTCGGCTCCCAGCGCCTCCTGCCCACCAGCAGCCCCGCCAGTCAGCGCCTCCCCTCCCTCCCCGCACCTCCTGATCAGCTGTGGCGTGCAGGAGGCTTTGGGGGGGAGGAGGGAGGAGCGAGGAGCGAGGGCACGGCAGGCTCAGGGGAAGGGGTGGAGTGGGGACAGAGCCTGTGGCAGAGCCAGGGGTTGAGCAGTGAGCACCCCCTGGCACATTGGAAAGTTGGCGCCTGTAGCTCCAGCCCTGGAGTCGGTGCCTATACAAGGAGCCGCATATTAACTTCTGAAGAGCCACATGTGGCTCCGGAGCCACAGGTTGGCCACCCCGATCTAGAGCCAGCCAGGGAGAAGGCACTAGACAAGGGGGATTATATAGTTTGTTTTTCCTTAAACAAAACAATTTAATGCTTGGAAAATTGACAGTCAGATAGTCTGAGGTCTTAGCCAGAAAACAGGTGCATAAAAGGACACAACAGCATCTGTTCACCACTTCAGGATAAGACACCTCAAAGTTGACCTAAGAGAACTCAGTCACTGAAATCTCAATCTCCCTGATGAAACTGTGAACACGGGTGCTGATTGATGTCGACTACAATGTAGATGCTTGTCTATACTAGGCCCTGTACTGAGATCTCTACCCATTTCATAGGCATGGAACAACATTAAGTTGGTAACTTTCAGTCATGACTGACCTGCTCTGAATCTGAATAGGTGATTTAGAGGTGAAAGGATCTGTAGCTCTCCCAAGCCATACAGTCTCACAAATTGCTGATACAATGATATGGCTTGGCTTATACAAAGCATCAGGAAGTCACTTTGGGCAAAGGCAGAATTCCAGAGCTCACTCTTTATAAATTTCCATGTTATTAATAAGGAGAGAGGGGAGGGCCCATACCCTCTCATTTATAGTCATTTGGAACTTTGCCTTGTAAAAGGTAAGCTTTTGTTCAGGAGAGAGAACTTGTTTTAAACCTTTAACAAGAGGCTGCAGATTTCATTCCCCCCTTATGCTAATTAAGCCAGGAATGACCCCACTGATGTCAGTAAGGTTACACTGGTGCATGTGATAAGTGAATTTGGGCCCATGGCCAAGATTTTCAAAAGTGCTCAGTGATTTTCAATGCCTGGCTCGAGACACATTGAGGGGGACTGATTTTCAGAAAGAACTGAACACTGAATTTGTGAAACTCAGGCCATTTATGGTGTCTCCGTTTGGACACCCCAAAATGGAGGCACCCCAAATCGTTTGAAAACATTAACCATTTAAAAATGGTTAATTCCAAAATATTTCGTAGAACTTCAGAAATATTTCCAAAAGTTCGTGCAATCCCAGCACTCCTTGGCTCCTCCCATCTCTGAGTCATGAGGCAACTGAGCTACTCTGACAAGATGGTGGAGGGGATGTGGAAGGGGTATTGCAGAATGGGTTCTTCCTTGGGTGGACTGGGTCAAATTTGGCTGGAGTCACTAGCAACCAAAGGCTGTTATTGCCTGGCTGTTTGCTGCCCCAGTGAAATGAGTTTGCGCTCTCCTGTGCAGTTCTCCAGTTTCCTAGGGCACAAGCATCCAAATCACAAATGCTCTGCCGAGCATATCCATGTCCCCTTGAGGCCAGGTTAATTCACTTTGTTAAAACGGGAAAGTAAAATCAACTTTCTGCTTGTGACAAGCTTCCTGTGCATCCTTCATGTTTAAGAACAACCCGGTATGGGGAGCTTGATATTCTTCTCTCATGACGCCCTGAGTAGAGAGTCTGTGAGAATCGCCTAGAATTCCAGTGAGTTCCAGAAAGAAAAGCTGCCCTCCCCCTGCGGGGCTGTAACTCTAGAGACCTTTACTGTAAACGAATCCAAACCTATGAGGCGCCAGATGTGCTGGTGACACCTGTTTGGCAAAGTCCTTTATTCTTCCCATGTGGTGTTTTCTCTCCTCAGCATCGGGGGATCCCTCCCCATTGTCTTTGCTTATTTCTCTGAATTCCTATCTCGTGAGAAGAGGGGGGAACACCTGAGCTGGCTCTGCATGTTCTGGATGATCGGTGGCATTTATGCCTCTGCAATGGCTTGGAGCATCATTCCACACTATGGTAACTGCTTTGTGCTTTCGGTTACTGATAACAACACATCCACACCACCCCTGCGCACACAGATATAAGGACTTACAGTTAGTGCATGGCAAACTGGACTGTACATCTACAGTGCACTAGCCTGCTGCAAACTAACTGCCTGCTTGGACTCTGCCATTATGCACTAAAAATTCCATAATGCACTTCGACCTACTCCCGTTTCAAATTGGCATAGATTAAAGTGCACTATGGAAACCTTAGTGCATGGTAGCAGGGTCCACATGGCCAGTTAGTGCTTGGCAGGCTAGTACGTTGTCAAATTACACCCCAGCTTGCTGCGCACTAACTGTTCGTATAGACTAGCCCTCACTCATTAACAACATCCCCCTCCCCCATCTGGTGGGCTATCGATTCTTAACATGATCTGTTGCAAGTTAGCCCTGCAGCTTCTGTGGTGTGTAAAACCAGAGTCCGACACGCTTGTACCAACTGCAACCAAACTCACCCCCACCATCCTGGAACTTTCAAATCCCACCTGCTTTTTTACAGGAACTCAAAGATAATCAGTGGAATTCATCCTGCAAGTCAGGATATCCCCAGAAGGACAGGAAGGATTGTCTAGCCCAGTGGTTCTCAAACTGGGGCCATTGCTTGTGTAGAGAAAGCCCCTGGCGGGCTGGGTCGGTTTGTTTACCTGCCCCGTCCACAGGTCCGGCTGATCGCGGCTCCCACTGGCCGCGGTTCGCTGCTCCAGGCTGATGGGAGCTGCTGGAAGCGGCGCGGGCTGAGGGACGCATTGGCTGACGCTTCCAGCAGCTCCCATTGGCCTGCAGCGGCGAACCACGGCCAGTGGGAGCCGCGATTGGCCGGACCTGCGGACGAGGCAGCTAAACAAACCGGCCCGGCCTGTCAGGGGCTTTCCCTACACAAGCGGTGGCCCCAGTTTGAGAACCACTGGTCTAGCTCTAGCATTGAAGACGCTATTGTGATTGGGGCCCTATACATACCAATGATAGAGAGAAATTGATTGATTGATACTTAGGCAGGATGATGGGTGATGGCTCCTTTGTGATAAAAGCCTCTAATACATCACACGTTTGGTATTGCAGATTATAAATGCTGGCCTCTCTTTATGAACAGTCAAACCCAGGACCACAAATCCACACATCCCTGAATTTGGGGATAGTTTGACTCAGATAACTTCATGGCTCATGTCCATGTTGACTGCAGAGCTGAGCTAAGCAATTATCAATAAATTGTAACTCTGCTGAACAATAACATTGGGATGGGGGGGCTAAGCAGCACATTATCAAGGTCAGCACATCCCACCATGTCTTAGCCGATACCAGTGTATTTGGGGTAATTTTTGTGTGTGAATATGTCTCCCTAAAACCTAAATTTGCTGGGATCACATCTGATTTCTACTGATTTTCCCATGGTGTTGAATATGGTAGAGAGAAAGGACTCGGAAATGTACAATACTACTATGAGGAACAAAAACCTGCATGTCACATGGTTTTCCTGGTAATTCATTTGCATCACCTAGGAAAACATCAGACTTCAGTATCTATTGAGAAAGATTAATTCCCCTATTATCCAGTATTGCCAGCTGTTTGCAAAATCTTGTTTGAGAAAAGTAGGACAGTCCAAAAAGATCATGAAGAGGGACTATAATATCTATCCATCCACCCACACACCCATCTTACAAGCTAAAACTACCCTCCGTATTTAGAAACCTTCAAGTTTTGGCCAGGAACAGGCTGTTGGAACAGATATGTAAACTAGAGTGAAATGGTGTCAGGCTAACGCACATACATTATTTGCAAACATGGTTTTAAAACCCAATCCTTTAAAGGGTAATATTTAAATTTTGCAGATGGTCAACATTGTCTAGGTCGCATGTTGGAGCATCCGAGCCCCATGCTGTACAGTTTTTCCTTTCCAGTATCCCTTTGTTCAATATTGTCTTGGAACTCAATTGAACATGTGTAGCATTGTAGTTGATACAGTTCTCATCACTGCAAAAGCTGTAACTTGTTTTTTTTTCAATATTATGAGCAAGAGTATATTATAATGAAACATTTGAAATAAACATCCTCCCTGAGATCTGACTGTGGGAAGACAAACTGAGAAAGAAAGATTTTGATTCATGATCTTTTTGGTGTGTCTTTGATTAAAGTTTGATTGATTGCACCCTCCCAAAAACCTGCTTTGGTCAAGCTGCCATTTGAGTTTTAAAGTGTCTGTGCTGCTCTCAGACTCCCTCGTGCCCCTTGTTTGGTGACTATGTGGCTTGCCTGCCCCTGCTTCCTTCTCTGTAAAATGGGGACTAACACTTCCCTTACAGATATGTTGTCAGGCTGTCTCGTAATTGCTCTGGAAATCAGAAAAGGGCTACGTATTAGAAATTCTCTGTAATGTTATGTAAGGAGGCCACAGAAGTGTAATAAAATATATCAGTGGATCCCATGTGACCCGTGCCACAGTATCCTTAGTTTTATTGCATAGCTCACTTCCAGCCTGATTTCTAAATTTAAAGATAAAGGAAGATTTTAAAAAGGCAGGAACTTACTAATAACCGATTCCATTGTCTGTGCTGAGCACAAACCCATAGGCTGTTATCCATCTGACTGTCTGATGGAGTCCACAAAGGAATTCATTACCAGGCATAATAAATCTTTCATCAGATGGGACTCTGTCAGCCTATCACCATCTTGCACAGAGCCCATACAGTCCAGTGGGTATCTGAGAGAGAAATCTGACTAGGTGGACAGAATTTTCACTCTGGCTTTTGTTGTTCATAGGCTGGGGTTTCAGCATGGGAACCAAGTACCACTTCCACAGCTGGAGGGTATTTGTAATCGTCTGTGTTCTGCCCTGTATCTCTTCATTGGTGGCACTTAAATTCATGCCGGAAAGTCCACGTTTTTTGCTAGAGGTAAGATGACTCGTCTGAAAACTGTACTCCAATATCAATTAACAAAGGAGGCCTGGTCCTTGCATGTTTCTGGCTGTCTCTTCACTGCCCTCTCCCCAGCTCCCTGGCCACACACCCACATGTTGGCTTGCCAGTTTCATTTAAAACTTAGAGACTCTCTGTATTAAGGTGCTAATCACATACTTTCATCGTATCACTTTTTAATGTTGACATCTGCATTGAACAACAAGCAAAATGCAGACCCCTGGGATTCATAAACCCATTAAAGGGTTTGCGTACCTGATTAAAACACAAGCACGTACCCTTTGGAAATGTAAATAGTAGAGCTGGGCAGGAAGAGGAGTGAAGGGCAAGAAACAGGAGCAGGATAAAATACGTGGGGAGTTGGATCTCAGACCCAGCAGGGGAAGAGCACTACTCACACAGCTGAAGGGACAGCATATAACTATTTATTATCACCTTGCACTTATTGTACATAGTACCGTTCACCTGAGGCTCTCAAAGCAGCTGACATACACGGATTAAACCTCAGACCCCACCGTGATGTATGTAAGTATTATTTATTCCCATTTTATAGATGGAACAACTGAGGCACATCAACTTGCCCAAGGTTACACAGCAAGTCATTAGCAGAGCTGGGCAGAGAACCATGTCTCCTGACATACCCTCTGCTTAGCCTGGAGACAACACATTGCCTAACTCCCACCTCCCAAATAATAATTAGAGTGGTTTCCTTCTTCTACCACAAAACTACTGCGCAGTCAGCAAATATAAACCTTGATGGTTCAGCCTTCTGCTTCTCCCTCCTCAACACACGATGCGGCACAGCACTGCTCCATTACACCTGGGCCTCCAGAGCTGGTTCCCTGTGTCAATTTTAAAACCACATGACTGGAGACCATAGTATTTAATGGCTGACTTGAGATGTTCTTCCCTTGGTGTTTCCAGATAGGTAAACATGATGAAGCCTGGATGATTCTCAAGCAAGTTCATGATACCAACATGCGGGCCAAGGGGGAGCCGGAGAGGGTGTTTACAGTGAGTGTGGTTTCCTTCTGGAAAGCAGTTAGTTATACTGTGGTAAAGGGGTCACTGGCACATGGGAGTCTTCATATGCTAGGTGTTGGTTTGGAATCTGCTTTAGTAAGCACCAGAGCTGCCTTATTCTTCCCCCTGTGGTTTCCAGCTTCTCACACACTATGTGACCTCCAGCAGCCAGGAGGGAGAATGGGAGAAGATAAGGACTGCACACTTCAGGTCATACACAAGCCTTGTTTTGCGGTGCTCAATCCCAGGAAAGACGATGGGAGTTGTATATGCATGGGGATAAAGCACAGTGGCTAGCCCAGCAGGTTTCCAATTATACTCAGACATCTAATTGCTCTGTTCTAGGAGCAAAGTAAACGAGAGGGACATTACTCGCGTGGGAAATCCGGACAACTCCTTTCTCCATTCCAGCTTCTAATCAAACTCTGATTAAGCTCCATGTACTTCCTAATGAGCTTCCCAAACCCCATCTGCCTGGTAGCCAGCCTTTAATCTCTCTGAAGGAAAGTGAGGTGAATGATTATTACTCACTGGGCCAATGCTCAGAGTGAAAAATTTGAACTGGGCAGAGTCTAATTCAGTGAGTTTAGAGAAGGCGTGTGGTGGGGTTAATTGTAAATCGCAGTGAGTGTGTTGTAAACAGTGAGTGCATCAGCTAGGGAATGCTCCTTGAATTAGGTTGTTATGTCAGAGAAGGCACATACCCTTAAAGGAAGGAGGGAGGGAAGAAAAATGTGGCTGCAGAATTCAGCTTTATGGTGCAAAAAGCCCGATTAACTGGAAAGAGGCGTTATGGAAGAACACTGTCCATAATGAATGAGCCCATCAATAATACAAGAGATTAATTTACTGTACCTCCAAGTGTGCTAAGACTCCAAGGTCAGAAAATGGGCTTAATGAGCCTGAGCTATTTCCAGGGCACAAGCTATTTGACTGCTGTGAAAAGAAAGAAAGAAAGAAAGAAAGTTGTCTGCTCCTGTAAAACTGGGATGGTCAGTTATGCTGCAGATCTATAAGCTGTGGCAAACAGGACGCTGCATGTTTCAGATGCTCTCCCCTCTGCTGCATGCCCCTTATTAAGGAGCTGTCCCCACCTCTCACCTTTAATATACAGCAGCAGCCTCAATCCACACCAGCTTCTCTCCTACTTGCACTGGGATAAGCCGGGCACATTCATACTGTAATGTGAGACTGACCATCCTCGAGGATTTAGGGCCCTCTGTGACAATGCTGCTCCTGGATTAAAACCATGTATTGTCTGTCACTCCTGTGTCAAATCCACGTGTACCTGCTCCTGCATCTGATGATCCTAAAGGCATCTGCTCCTGTTAGGACTCAGTCTGTCAAACTATACTGCACTCATGAACACTTATTATTCCAGCTAATGATGTCCTATTTGCCATGTGTCATAATGGTTTGAAATATTGTACTTCAGATCTGGAGTTTGGCGGTTGAATCAAGACTTACTGAAACCTCCTGGCACAGACAGACAATGAGCTCTCCTTGCCTTGTACTTTCCATGTGAAGTTGTATTTTGCTAATTGGCCAGCAGGAGCCAGTCAGTCATGCACCAGCTGTTACTGGGACAATTCCCAGATCTGACATTTAAACAGTTCCAGTCAGGAGAACATAGACACTATCTTATCGAGCTGGGTGAATCATTCATACTGAATGAATTATTCAGTGAATTTCACCTCTTTTTCTGCATGTGAACAGATTGTGATTTTCTTGAATATGTTCTTTACTCAAAATTATTCACCAAATACTTTCTGTGACTGATTCCTAGGTTATAACCCATTCACGAGCACTTACTTACAAGTATTCAATATTCAAAATTCAGGCTATTTTGACTGGACAAATTAGTCATATGGTATGTTTCTATTCCCTGATTGGATGAGTTTTCTGATGCAAACATACACATTTATGCACTCAGAATTGACTTTCCACAAATGTTCTTCCATTGGCACTTAAAATTTACTGTGTTAGAGAATGCTTTCGCCAGTTGCATTTGAGAAAAGAGAACATGAAAGCAGTTGAAGCAAGTTTGTTTAAAACTGTATTAACTATTCACTGACATTTTTAGCAGTAATTATCAGCTCTAATTACCGGGCAGATTCTTAAAGACATCAAGATCACATAGTGTATGTGTGTTAGCTTAACGTGTTGGGTGTTAGAATTACATTTTATTATCAATCTAATAAGTGAAAGTTTGAGGTTGATGTGAAAAATTGGAAATGTGTCACAGAGAGAGAGATTTTTAGCCCATGAGAAAAACTCAGTATCCAATGGCAACACATCAAGAAAAGATAGCAGGTGAAAATTCTGTGGCAAACATCAGAGAAGATTGCTGTGCAAGAGGCAGAGAAGGGATTGTGCTGAAAACAGAGAAATGGTTGAATCCATCCAGGGTCAATTGCTGAAACTTTGGTTTGTGTTTTTCAGGTCGCCCACATCAAAACTCCAAAGCAAATAGATGAGTTTATTGAAATCCAGAGCTCAACAGGGGCATGGTACCAGCGCTGGTTGGTCAGATTCACGACCACATTAAAACAGGTATGGAGCATGAGGACCATCCCACAAGAGCTTTCGATGTATTGAGATTCTGATTCATATTCACAACATCCCTCGGGTTACTATGTAGGATAAATGGGCCTGGGCTCTGGTAGCATTTGCTATACTTCCCCCACCCCCCTATCCTCACCCTGTCTCTTCTTAACCCAAGCCACCAATGAGTTCCTGAACTGATATGCTGTATATGGCTAAAGGAAGACCTCAGGGTCAGACCACAGCATACAAGTATCTGATTTCCCTTCCACTTGCACGAACAGAGATGCTCTGCTGGCCAAACCTAACAGAGAATACCATCCCCAGTGAATGAATTAAAATTCTATCTGCTTAATGTTGCTGCTTGCTAAGGCTGAGTCTCCAGGATTATAATATAAATATTTTGGCCAGCTACGGATTTCACACCTGCCGTTCTACTGCCCACCACAACCAGGGCCGGCTCTAGGTTTTTTGCCGCCCCAAGCAAAAAAAGTTTTGGCTGCCCCCCCTGTCCCAGCCCTGGGCTCCTCGCCGCACCCCCCTGCTGCCCCAGCCCTGGGCTCTCCCCGCCCACCCACACCCCCTGCCGCCCCAGCTCTGGGCTCCCTCATTCCTCCCCACCATTGCCCCCCACGCACACCTCCTGCCGCCCCAGCCCTGGGCTCTCTCCCCTCCCCACCTGCACCCTCCTTCCGCCGCAGCCCTGGATCACTGGTAACTCGCTCCCACGGCAGGTCATTCAGCAGGAATGTTAGATGTGCACAGAACACAGACAGGATTGGTTCCCGTATGGTTACAGAACTGCAGTAAAGTGGAACAATTTTCAGATTGTGTGATTGGAGGATGCATATTATAAGACTGTCCTACATAAATGAGGAAAAGTTGAGGTGCCTTTATTATTCTTTTGTTCCACTCTTTCTTTCTATGGGGAATTTGCCAATGCAATATCACTGTCTTCCTTTTACACAAACGAACAAAAAAAAAAAAAGGCAATGGCTGTTGAAAATAGCAATTCCAGTCCTAATAACCACTGGGAAGCATTTCTTGCTCAATTTTATCCTACTTTTTCTACAGCAAGTTACAGTGGATCAGTATATTTGATTTGGGAGAAATGAAGTAACAGCTGCCCAAACTGAGCTTGAGCACTCCTGAATTTTGAGGTGTTCAAATCTGGAAGGCAGGTGCTGGGGGGAGGGAAGGGGGCTGTGGCTCTGCGGGGGAGCATGGCAGCATGTATGCAGCAGTCTGGCGCTGCGCGGAGCCAGACACGCTGGTCTGAGTGGCACGGTAAGGGGGCTCGGGGGTTGGATGGGGCGGAGGTTCGGGGGGGCAGTCAGGGGCAGGGAGAAGGGGGGGTTATATGGGTCAGGGGTTTGGGAGGGGCAGTCAGGGGACAGGCAGCGGTTGGATAGGCATGGGAGGCCCAGGGGTTTGTCAGGGGACAGGTAGGGGGTGGGGTCCTAGGGCGGAAGTTGGGGGGGGGTGTCTCAGGAGGGGGCAGTTGGGGACAAGGAGAAGGGAGGCTTAGATGGGGTCCCAAGGGGCAGTTAGGGGCAGGGGTCCCAGGAGGGGGCAATCAGGGGACAAGGAGCAGCGGCGCTTAGATAGGGGGTGGGGTCCTGGGGGGCAGTTAGGGGCAGGGGTGATCAGGGGACAGGGAGCAGGGGGGGTTGGATGGGTCGGGGTTTCTGTGGGGGGCAGTCGGAGGGAGTGGATGGTGGCAGGGTGGGGCTACCCTCCCTCCCTGTGGAGTGTGCTATTTTTTTAATGTTAAAATATGGTATCCCTACTCACAGTGCAGCTCTCCATTCAGGGCAGGCTGCAGCATGAGGTCTCAGCTACCTCACTCCCTCCCCCTCTTTCCTGTTGCTAGTGGCCAAGGGAATGCTGGGAAATGTAGTTCTTTCCCTGCTCCAGGGCTGGCTCTATAGGCAGGGAGCTAACCAAGGAACTACAGCTCCCAGGGCTCCCTGTTGGTTCTCCGCTCCCATGCTGGATCCCTGCCGCCCCTGCAAATGGGCTGCCCCAAGCACCTGCTTGCTTTGCTGGTGCCTAGAGCCGCCCCTGACCCCAACTGCCCAGAAATTCACAGCAGCTGTGGGGTTAAACCTAGATTCTTAGGCTCCAGAAGCACAAGCTCCTGCCACTTGAAGTAAAGAAGAATCTCCCTTGGTTGTTAGCAGTCTAGATTCTATGAGACACAATTAAGCAGCTCCAGATCCATTTAGTGGAGGGCAGTGTCACACGTACACACTAGCCAGCTCGTTACAGATATGCTTATACTGAAGGATACTGGAGCAAAGCTTCATGAACATTGTCCCCTCAGGTCCTCATATGTATCTCATGAAACATAGTTTGGAACAAACACTGGGATCTAAGCAGATTATCCATCTTCCCTAAATGAGCTCTCTTCACTGTTAATATTAAATTCCTGACCTGCCCAGAAATGAATCTTTCAAGATCTCTGCTAGGATTTCTCTGTGACTGACCCCTTCCTGTGGATTTGTAGATCTGGGACAACCTGTTGTATTGCTTGACAGCCCAGTACAAGATGAATACACTGATTCTGGCTATGGTTTGGTTTTCAATGGCCTTTAGGTAAGTCACTTCTCTAACTTTCTCAAGAAACAGTAGCCATCTGAGGGCTTAGTTGTTGCAGTCAGGGTCCATCTACAATAAAATGTGCTCTGAGTTTTTGTGGGATTAACTGTGCATATAAATAAATTGTTATGAAAATCAAATTTTGCCCCCTTGATCCTATTTTAAAGAGACAGAGCCCGTGAAAAACTAGGCCATGGTCTGCTAAGTATCTATGTTTTACTCAGTCATCCAACTGCCCATAACAGAGAGTTTAGTATACCTTGAACAAACCAGGCCTTGGGGAAGACGGGTTGGTACTGCATGGCTCAGTAGTCTTATATGGAGCCTTTCACTTCTAGGTCCCTTGTCTGAATCCTGTCTATATTAGTAGTGTCGAAAAGTAATTGCTACCAGCTGGCTGGCTGTTCATTGGTCTGTGTCAACTAAGTGGGTGGATTTCAGTCCACTTAAGAACAAATAAGTGTCCACGCTAGGGACACCACCCCCTGATCTGGTGATAAAGATGAGCAAATAGTTCAGGAGTCGGCAACCTTTGGCACGTGGCTCGCCAGGGTAAGCACCCGGCGGGCCGGGCCGGTTTGTTTACCTGCCGCGTCTGCAGGTTTGGCCGATCGCGGCTCCCACTGGCCGCGGTTCGCTGCTCCAGGCCAATGGGAGCTGCGGGAAGCAGCGTGGGCCGAAGGATGTGCTGGCCACGGCTTCTTGCAGCCCCCATTGGTCTGGAGCAGCGAACTGCAGCCAGTGGGAGCTGCGATCGGCCGAACCTGCGGACACGGCAGGTAAACAAACCGGCCCGGCCCACCACGGTACTTACCCTGGCGAGCCGCATGCCAAAGGTTGCCGACCCCTGAAATAGTTTATAACAAAAAATGCTTTGTCCTTTTCTGTTCATAGAACATCTATGAATGGATCATGGCTTTCTTGAATACAACCATGATTCAAAAGTAGTAGAAAAAATGTTAGATGATTTTCCTAAGCTCTGTGGCATGTACTGTGCTGTTTAATTAGTCACATACAGCACATGGTCTAGTTTCTGATCCTTGTGCAGATGAATGTAACTTACGGTCGGGCTTCTGGTGTGAATGCTCGTAGGAAGTGAATTTACAATCTCTTTTACAGCGAATTAGGGAATGTGTGGTTAACCTTTGCTTTCCACAAGGAGCCATGCTAATGCAACTTGATTGCACTTGCTCCAGAAAGTGAACGCAAAAGAACCACAGACACGAAAAAGTGAATTTGGTAACAAAATTGGAATTCAATGTATATAGAATATTTTTACTGTATTTACCCATCTCTGGTTGGCACCAATGGTGCCTTCTTCATTGGCAACCTCAACTGATCATTCAAGGGCTGAGAATTCCCTAGAGACTGAACTACCTGCTTGTCACTTAAGGCAGTTGGACCCTCCAAGGCAGGTTTTGCCATTGCTCGTGACATTCCTGTGCTGTGGATAAATGGAAGACTTCGCTCTCCAGTCTGTCAATCTGACACTTTTCCCCAGCACTAAATTTACCTAAAAGCATTGACAGAGAACCCAAAATTAGAGCTGCTTACAAGTCAGATATTGTGCAGGGCCAACTCCAAAATATGTGTAAACTTTATCTGAACATGCCCCTTTCCTCTCCTTGCTGCAGTTACTATGGCCTTACTGTCTGGTTCCCTGACATGATCCGATATCTCCAGAATGAGGAGTATGACTCCCGACTCAAAAGCTTCAATCGGGAACATGTAACGCACTTCACCATAAACTTCACACTGGAAAACCAGATCCATAGGAATGGGGTATTTGTCAATATTAAGTAAGTGAACGTGACCTGATTTCCTTTATATCTGGGGGATGAGGGCATATGGTTCAATAAAACATGGCACATATCATTTCTAGAGAAAGAGCTGAAATTTTCAAGCATTTGAATGCTCCCCAGGCTTTACCTCATACTAGTAAGGCGTAGCAGTGGATTGGACATTCTAGATCAGGGATCGGCAACTTTTGGCCCGTGGCCCACCAGGGAAAGCCCGTGGCAGGCTAGGCCGGTTTGTTTACGTGCAGTGTCTGCAAGTTCAGCCGATCGCTGCTCCCACTGGCCGTGGTTCGCTGCTCCGGGCCAATGGGGGCGGCGGGAAGCAGGGCGGGCCAAGGGATGTACTGGCCGCCCTTCCCGCAGCCCCCATTGGCCTGGAGCGGCGAACTGCAGCCAGTGGGAGCCACGATCAGCCAAACCTGTGGACGCTGCAGGTAAACAAACCGGCCCAGCCCACCAGGGGCTTTCCCTGATGGGCTGCATGCCAAAGGTTGCTGATCCCTGTTCTAAATCATTACCAGTCTGGGAATGCCGGTGATCACCATTCATGACTCTCTGAAGTTTTAGAATACAGCCAGTTTTTCAAACTAATTAGACAGGCAAATGCTGCAACTGCATGTGCAAATTGGGTACTTACCTGGGCAAGTTGCCAGTTAAGCATGTTTACTGTTTGTACACACAGTTACCTGATTTAAGCATGCAGTTACAATAACTGCATGCAGAAATTAGACATGCATTTCTAATCAAAACACATACCTAACTTGTTTGAAAACTTGGCCATTAAGTTGCCATTCCGTAGCAAGGCAGTCTAGCATTTAGTGGTAGTGTATAAGGTGTGTCATATGGTCCCTTTCATGTCATGTTGCCAGCTTCCTAGGAAATCTAATTGCTTTTGAGGCTGGGGCCAGTCTAAATGAAAATTTAGGGCCAGGGAGAGAGGAATGATAGTCCAGTGGTTAACGTTCTATCCTGGGACCTGTGAGACCTAAGTTAAATTCTCTGTTCTGCCACAGACTTCCCATATAACCTGGGGTGAGTCACTTAATCTCTCTCTGTCTCAGTTCCCTATCTGTACAATGGGAGCAATAGCACTGCCCTACCTCTTGGGATGATGTGAAGATAAATCCATTAAAAGGTTGTGAAGTGCCCTTGAGGGCCATAGAAGTACCTCAGATAGATTGTGTCAGGTCCTACTTATGCCACCTGCAATTGCCATGCTTATAATATTTGTGTCAGCGGTGTGTGTGGTCTGATCCCTTGGATACACTCCTGGGGAGACATGGTGCCACAAAGGGTATAGCGAGGGATGAGGAAGAGGTGGGCCCATGATCCTATCTCAATTCTCTACCATCAGGCTGGCAGCAACAAGGACGTGCATAAGTACTTCTGGTCTGAAAACACACATGTGTGGATTTGAAACTCACTTTCTATGAATCCTCATGCCTGTGACTGTGACATCTATTTTCAGCATATATGTTTTGCCAGTTGAACTTAGTCATTTGAGAAAGATAAACCCCAAGCTCCCAGTAAAGCCATCCACACAGCCAATGCAACATTATGTAAATTAAGAGTGGAAAGGATATTTGTAGGAACCATCTTTTTGCATTTTTGCGTTATTCACCCAGCTAGGCATAACCCTCGTTCTGTGGGAAACACCACGTGCAAACCCATGGAGCATCAAGAGATCATGTGCTCTTTCTACTCTGCTCTCTCTCCACCCCACCCCATTTATCCACACCTACAGTCCTAAAGAAGTGTGTTTGAAGAATTCCTTTCCCAGAATTCTTCTCCTACCAGGCTCACATGTCCTCATGATGGGACCTTCTTATCTGGGACCAGTGCATGTGGAATCAGAGCATGTGGAATTGCTCTCCTGGGCCCCTTTGGAGCCAGAGGTGGCTTTCTTCTCTTTCCTTAGGACACACTGACATCTAGTGGTCCTGGGCAAGAAAGATTTGTTTTCTTTTTAAATATACTTTCCACTTTTGCTTCCTGAAAGCAAACACTTCTGTGCTCGCTTAAAGCTATTATTTACCATGGCCACCATTCTGCACCATCACAGTCAATGTGAGCTTTGCCATTGACTTTCTATCTGTCTCACAAACTTCTCCCACACCCACCCTTGCCAACTCAAAACAAAATATATTGGCCAGATCCTTAGTTAATGCTTTGAAGTCAACGGAGCTATGCTGACTTACACCAGCTGAGGATCTGTCCCTATGTAACTGTCAAGACATGTATCCGTCATCATGGTGATTAGTTTGTATGTGGTATCTCTTTTCCCTACCCTGGGACAAGTTTTTCTTTTTGGTCTTTCTGGTTTGAAAGCTCTTTGGGGCTAGGGACTGTGTCTTCTTCTGCATCTGTACAGCATGGAGAATGTATTGGGCACTACCACAATATAAACAATGAAAATGATGGGGGGGCTGTGACGGGGCAGTGTGCCACACCCCTGCCTTTGTCACAAACACAGACTGCTCTGAGACCTTCTTGCTTGTAAATGCCACTGTATAGTTTATTTTCAGTGTTTTAATCCCTCCACCATACACCTTTACACGCTGTATCTCAACTTTCTAACTCCTTCTCCAAAGGCTGGGAAGATAAGGTGACTCTACTTCGAGAACCCCCTTTGTCGGGCTCTTATAGCTTTCTGGTTGGTTGGTTTCTCTCTCCCATTTTCTCTTCCTCCCACAAGCACTCTTTCCCGTGCCCTTTTGTACAGCTTCCCTGTTAATGGCTAATTGGCTCATTGACTCACTAGCTCCAATCTGGCCTGGTAATCAGGTACACCTCTGTCCAATTAGGCCTTTTCTAGAGGAACCTAATTAGTACAAACAGTGACCAGGGTGCTGGCTCAAGTGCTAGCCCTCAGCACTATGTTACAGGGACCATGTCCCCTGTCTAAATGGAAATTCACCCATCGCCTTCTAGGTGTTACTCACATAGTTCCAAATAGACTTAGACTCTCTAAAATTTCAGCTGCACATGCGCCTCCTGGGAGGAATACATTATGGACTCAGAGTCAACATCCTACAATCACATTTTATTTTACTCCTAGTAGTTGAAAACTACATGGCATTCCCTATCGCTATTGTCCATTTCCATTTGTCAAACATTGTTTTGGGTTACGTCCATGTGTTTCTAATGGAACTTAACATCAGTGTGGCCTTTTTATGGCTGCTTCTTTGTTTATGCCCAATCATCCTGGGTGAGACCACTACTGCAATAGGATGCAAGCCCTCCTCTTCCCTCCCCAAAATCCAACCTAACCGGAAGTGTGTTCAGTGGTTAAAGTGCTAGGACTCCTGTCTCTGCCACTGAGTAACTACATGACCTTGGATAAATCACTTCATTCCCTTTTGCCTTCCAACTCCTCCAGCTTCCCTCTATTTAAATTGGAGATAATATTGACTGACACTGCAGTGATGCTGTTGTGAAGCTTTGTTAATGGATGTCTGTAACGTGTTTCGGATGAAAAATGCTACAGAAAGACCAGTTGATAGATTCATAGACTTTAAGGCCAGAAGGGACCATCATGATCATCTAGTCTGACCTCTTGCACATTGCAGGCCACAGAACCTCACCCACCCCACTCCTGTAAAAGACCCGTAACCTCTGGCTGAGTTACTGAAGTCCTAAAATCATGATTTAAAGACTTCAAGTTACAGAGAATCCACCATTTACACTAGTTTAAACCTGCAAGTGACCTGTGCTCCATGCTGCAGAAGAAGATGACCTCCCCCCCCCCCCAGGATCTCTTCCTATCTGATCTGGGGGAAAATTCCTTCCTGACCTCAAATATGACAACCAGTTAGACCTGAGCAGGTGGGCAAGACCCAACAGCCAGAAACTTGGGAAAGAATTATCTGTAATAACTCAGAGTCCTCCCCATCTGGTGTCCCATCACCAGCCATTGGAGAGATTTGCCACTAGCAGTCGCAGATCGGCTACATGCCATTGTAGGCAGTCCCACCATACCAGCCCCTCCACAAACTTATCAAGCTCAGTCTTGAAGCCAGTTAGGTTTTTTGCCCCCACTACTCTTTTTGGAAGGCTGTTCCAGAACTTCACTCCTGGAAGGAATCAAAATGGTTATCGGTCTGGTCCATGGGAATTTACGACAAAACCCTGGGCAGATCCAAGGCTGTTCGGTAGCACAAAGAATTCCTTTAGACTATAATACAATAGAATGTCTTTTGGATCTGGCCAAAGAAAGTAAATAGACTACACCCCAAATACCCCCCATCCCACAATCTTTTTTGTTTGTAAACTACTATGTGGGCATCGTTGTTGTATGTGAACTCTCAATGCAAAATTCTAATATAGGATATGGCCCAAGGATGAATGTGTGTGTGTGCGTGTACGTGCATGTGAGTACAGGTATTAAATGTTCTTCCCTTTCAGCCCTCCCTGCATGTTGTTTTGCATTCCTGGTCCTGCTTTTCATCTGTACAGGGCGATGCTCTTCAGCATTTGTGAAAGGAAATAAGCTTCATTTCCCATCTGCTGTAACCTGGCAAGTTTCAGCCACAGTTAATAGAGTCAGGTATTCCTTGATAGCACTTGGGAATTGCTTCCGAACGATTATCTCCCCACTGGGGAGCAGCCAGACACTGGGTGGCAGGATTGGGACAGTGTCTTGGTGAAGGGACTGGGAGCTTAATCGTGCAAAGGGCTGATTATTCAGCTGAGGTGCTGAATGTCCTCAGCGCCTCTTGACTTCAGCGGGCATCAGGGGCACTTGGCACCTTGCAGGATTGAGCTCTGGGTGGGGATGTGACCAGACATTCATCTCTTTGGGGTGAAAGGAGCCGTCAGCCATGTTATTAACGGTTAGCCCAGTCCCTGTTTGGTTCTTTCCTAGTGCAGTAACTCACTCAGAAGCTGCTCTGACTGTGTTTCAGCACGGCCTGCATCGCATCCTGGTATGACTTATGGCTCCATTTTCCCATCAGCCCTTGGCAGTGAGTTAAAACTCCCCTGGAGGCCATGCAACTGCTTTATAACTCCTTTAAAGAGGAATGCTCAGAAATCAAACTGCAGGGAGAGGGCTCTTTAAAGGCCTTGGAGAGTAAATGCCTCTCAGGCTAATACTGTGCAAATGCAAATCAGCCTCAGTTTTGCTGTAACCTCCGAGACCTTCTTTATGGAACATAGGGCTTGATTAGTCTTCATGTAATTTTTGAGCATTAATAATGTCTATTTGAGGCCTCTGTTGAGAAGCATGTAGCATTAATTTAGTGGAGTAAAAACATCAAACTAGGATCTCTTGCAAAAGTTCAATTAAATTAAGGTGCTGGATCTTTGTTCAAAGCCTTTTATCTAGTGCCTGCCCTGGTCTCATTAGCCTGGACAATAACACTTGCACTTACATACACACACTTTTTTACAACTTCAAAGCCCTTCCTACATATTAACGAATACATTTCCACAATGCCCCCGTGAGATACTGTAGGTAGGTAAGGGTAGTGTCACCCATCTAAGAAGTGGGTAGCAGATGTCAGGGCCTTACAGGTTGGCTTCCCATGCGAGGAGAAAATCAGCAATGTGGAGCCTGAGTATATTCTTAGTTTAAATTGTTTTATTTACACTACACACAGTAGTCCTTGAACAGAGGCAGTCACAAACAACATGCAGGTGAATCTCTTCTTCCAAAAATCTAAGCCCAGCTCCAACACCTCATTCCCAGGAAGCAATTCTGCTTGAAGAATTGACTCTAATTGGAGAAATCAAGGCAAGGAGAAAACTTGATTGCTGTTTGCAACAGCTCCACAGAAAGAAATTACATCACAACACTAACAACAATGCTGCTTTTCTTCCAGAAATGTACAGTGCTCGAACACTAAGGAAAAGAACTCTGGAAACAATGTGTAACAGTGCCATCTGGTGATTCCCTCCATCATATTGTACAGATGGTGAAAATAAGGCACAGAGATGTTATCCAAGGCCACAGAGAGAAACAGTGGCAGAGATGGGACTGGAAATTAGGTGTTTGTGCCTCTGAGGCCTCATGCTTAGCCCAATAGATCCAATGGCTTCTGATAAAGGATATTTTTTATTTACCCTTGGCAAGGGGATGGGAGGAAGAATGGGGACAAGAGGCTCTGCCCAGGGACAGAGAGAGTGCTATGCGTTACTGTTGAGTGATACGTTCTCCAGCTGATCCAGGAGCAATATTGACAGGAGCTGTATCCAGTCCTCCTTGGCTGAAAGGGTGGATTGGTTTGATGTGAGGACTCTGAAGAGCGAAGCAGGTGCAGGGAATCCTAGATGACCTGTGTCTACTAAAACAACCCCTTTCTTGCATTCACACAACACCTTTCCTCAGGAACCCCAGAATCCACCATTGCCACTCTGTGCGACCACATCATTTACACGTTAGGAGGTTATTGGAATGGTCACTGAGCGCTTTGTGCTTACTCACTGCTGCTTGGGTGGGGCTTCTTTTCCTGCCCTGCAGGTTTGCTAAGATGAAATTCAAAGATGTGACTTTTGAGGACATGCTGTTTGAGGAATGCTATTTTGAAGATGTGACATCCACCGAGACCATCTTCAAAAACTGCACCATTTTAGCCACTGTCTTCTATAACACTGGTAAGGGGATTCCTGGCTTGGTCTAGCCCAGAAGTGGGCAAACTACAGCCCGCGGGCCACATCTGGCCCGCAGGACCCTCCTGCCCGGCCCCCGAGCTCCTGGCCCGGGAGGCTACTCCTGGCCCCTCCCCTGCTGTTCCCCCTCCCCCACAGCCTCACCTTGCCGCGCTGCCAGCGCAATGCTCTGGGCGGTGGGGCTACGAGCTCCTGGGGTAGCACAGCTGCAGAGTCCAGCCTGACCTGGTGCTCTGTGCTGCGCGGTGGCGCCAGTGTGGCTGGCTCCAGCCGGGCGGTGCGGCTTTAGCACTGCCAGCCACCAGTGCTCCAGGCAGCGTGGTAAGGGAGCAGGGAGCTGGGGGGTTGGATAGAGGGCAGGAGAGTTCAGGGGGGTGGCCAGGGGGCAGGGGTGTGGATAGGGGTCAGGGCAGTCAGAGGGCGGGGAACAGGGGTGTTGAATGGGGGCAGGGGTTCCGGGGGAGCAGTCAGGAATGAGCGGAGGGGTTGGATGGAGTGGCGGGGGGCAGTCAGGTGCAGGGGTTCTGGAGGCAGTCAGGGGACAGGGAGAAGGGGTGGTTGGATGGGGCAGGGGTCCCGGGGGGGCCGTCAGGAATGAGAGGGGGGTTGGATGGGCTGGCGGGGGGCAGTCAGGGGCAGGGGTTCCGGAGGCAATCAGGGGACAGGGAGAAGGGGTGGTTGGATGGGGCAGGGGTCCTAGGGGGGGCCGTCAGGGAACAGGGGGGTTGGATGGGGCAGGAGTCCCGAGGGGGGGCAGATAAGGGGTGGGGGCCGGGCCACGACCTCCTCCCCTAACCAGCCCTCCATACAATTTCCAAAACCCGATGCACCCCCAGGCCAAAAAGTTTGCCCGCCCCTGGTCTAGGCTGTGGAACAATGTGCATGTCTGATTTGTGGTGAACGGTTTGTAGTGGGGCTATAGAAATGCGTGTGTTGTGCTGTGACAGTGATCAGGGAATAAGAAGGGGGAAGTCAAACAAGAGACCAGTTGTGGTGTTAGCTCTATGACTATGGTGAACCTCTGTAGAACCAGGTCTACATACTACACTTGCCTTAAAATGTAAGGTGAGCTAGAATTTTCCCATCTTTCCAGACCTGAGCTTACCAGTCCATGCACATATGTGTCTGAGTCACAAAACGTACATTGAGATCAGGATTTTGCCAGCGATTAAGACTGCTCCCATCTGCAGCTTCCGTCTCATCTTTAGTTTCAGGTAACACTTGGTGAGGACTTAGGGCAGATCAGACAGCTGTGTTCCCAGCCTTCCTTAATTGCACTGCTTATGGTGTCATGGACTGTTGCAGCAGAAACCCAGAAAAAATGAATTCAGACCTTGGCAAGTTAAAGTAATAGAAGAACTGATTCAACAATTTTGGCTTAAAATAGTCATTTTTTCAGCCCATATCCAGCTTCTGGTTTGGGATCTCAAGCAGCTTAACTAATTTAATTCATTCATTTATTAATTTTGAAAGAGCTTTGCACTTCCCCTTTAACTGAAAATAAACCACTGGACGATGAAAATTGCAGCCTGTAGCACCAGCTCCTGGGCTATTGCTCATCATTGGTTGAAATGCCAAGCAATTAGGGCCAAATTATGGCTGCTCCAGCATGGGTGCATTAAAATGGTGCTCCTCTTCCCGTTAGTGCAGAAGGCAGGCATAATGCTGTAGCCAGCACTCCCCAGGCACTGGAGGGTAGGGAGATGATAGACACTGAAGAAGCCAGATGAGGCAGTTTGGGTGTATGTACACGACCCCGTTCCCTGCATATCAGTTAATGCAAGAAGGTGCACAGGCTTATATCTGTTCTATGTGTGTTGCATACAGTGGCCTTTCAGGTAGTATGCCTGCTTCTGGCTACTCAGGCATAATGCCTCCAGCTACCTCCACTCAGGCAGGGAACACCTTTCTAATCCGGTGTGCCTCCATCGAAACTGAGCTCTGAGAATGTACCCTTATTCCCAGCTGCTGTTGCTGCTACACGGAGGGTCCAATCTTTGCCTCTTGCCTTCTCAGATCTTTATGAAGACAAATTCATCGAGTGCAGGTTTATAAACGTCACCTTCCTGGACCAGAAGGAGGGATGTCACCTGGACTTCGAGCAGGAAAACGACTTCCTAATTTATCTCGTCAGTTTCCTGGGTAGTTTGTCCGTGTTGCCTGGCAACATCATCTCAGCACTGCTCATGGACAAAATAGGAAGGATAAAGATGATTGGTGAGTGAAGGTGATGGTCAACTGATACATCAACAGCTGGGTGCATGGATGACCCAGGGCATAATAAAGGGATATTGTGAATACAAAGGTCTCTCTGTTTCTGTGCGCACAAATGAAAAATGGTCCGGGTAAGCATGCGATGAGTCACTCCAATACCAAATAAAGCAGAGGAGTTGATGGTTCAGTGGGTAGGGCACTAGATGAGGACTCAGGGCATCTGGGTCCTATTTCATAGATTCCTAGATTCTAAGGCCAGAAGGGACCATTGTGATCATCTAGTTGAACCTCCTGTGTTACACAGGCCATAGAAATGTATGGCTCTGCAACTGACCCACTGTAATAACGTGCACAAAGTCACTCCCCCTCTCTATGCATCTCTACTCCCACCTTTTATGTATTTTGTTTATTTAGACTGTCAGCTCTTCATGGCAAGGGTTGTCTCTCACTCTGGGTTTGTCCAGTACCTAGCACAATAGGGCTCTGGTCTTAGTTGGGCCCTCTAGACACGGTTGTGTTGATGGTGATGCTGATGCCTGTATCATCCTTTGTGGTAGAGAAGAGACATAGCTAATTAGTAATTGATATAAAAAGAGATTCTTTACTATGGCTGTTGGACACAGAGAGGACCCTATAATTCTCGCTCAGGGCCTCAAGCTCCCAAACTGAATAAACTCAGATTGTGCCTAAATCCTGGCCTGGATCAAGCATCCGTGGGCTGGATTACTGATTATGCTACATGTTGATAAAGGTGTCACCTTCTTGTCTTGCGGGACTAAATCCTCATTTTATGTGACTGTGACACATATACAAGGATTTTCTGAGGTTGTTTCACAAAGTGGCCAGGTAACTCATCTAGTCCCAATATAGCTTCACCGCACGGTGGGATGGTGACACCAAACTGTATCAACATCAAAGTGAATTCAGAGTTCTTGTAATGGACATGGGACATGCCCAACCAAACCAAAAGTGTCCTATGGAAAAATTGGGATAGCTGGCAAATGTTAGAGCTAAATAAAAATCAGAATTTCCTTACTGCAGGAAATTCTGATTGTTCAACATTTCTTTTCATCCCAAAGTGGGATAAAAGGTTAAACTATTGAAACTTTTCACAGAATGAAAAGTTCTGAAAAAATTTCAATTTGGAAAAAAAACCCCACATTTTGTTTTGGTATTTTTGATCAAAACAAAACATTTTGATATGCCCAAGCTGAAATATTTCATTGTGGTTTGTTGAACTGATCCAAAATACTTCATTTCCAATCAGTTCAACATTAAACTGCATTTCCCTGTAATGGTACATTGCTTCATGGGAGCTTTAGTTCAGGTTGCCTGAAGCCCCTATTATTCCCCATGGGCTATGCTCCCTGACCAACATCTCCTATGATATACCCCAAGTTATGCGACTCTCATGATGCACGACGTCACTTAGTCAGAGGAATGTGTTGCATTGTGGGAGATGTAGTCTGGCCAGGCTCAGCCCATAGGAAAGAAAGGCGACCCAAACTACGATTCCCATGAGGCAACGTGCCACAATAAGGAAATTCAGTTTTATGTTGAACTGACCTAAAATGAAACATTTAGTGTCAGTTCAACAGTTCAGAATATTTTGATTCAGTCAAACTGACCCAAAACAAACTACTTGCTTTTGGTTTTCCTGACAGGAAATAGAAACATTGGAAAATCATCCCAAGGGGAAATTCCCAGCTTGCTCTTGCAAATATTAACAGTGTAGACCCTATATCAGTGAGCCTGAATTGAGGCTAATGAACCATGAATGTTCTCACTTTCTCCCTTGGGTTTGTGCATAAAATGTGTCAGGCAGTCGAATAACATCTTAACTGTATAAAGCACTTGGGGTAGCCCTTAATTATAGACTGCAAATTAATCCTGAGACTACGGATGAGCCAGGTGATTTGAATGCAATATAACCAGCCCTAACGCCTCACCCAAAACTCAAACCATTTTGCAGCTTCAGCAACCTTCAGACAACTCTTCCTATTCATTGATGTTCATGTTTACTTGCTTCTGCTCGTCCTGGGTCCAGCTGCAATACCACACGAGAGAGCCCACGTTTGTGGTATCTGCAGGGTGAGACTATTGGTGACATCAGCCTAGTACCAGGAGATTTCCAGCCTGTTTCCTGGCCCCAACGAGCTAGACAAAATCATTTGGATGCTGAGTTGAATCTTGTGGAGATCACTCATCTCAAGGGAGAAAATCCATCATCTGAAGACTCTTCTTATTAATGGTGGATTTGGCTGCCTGGAGATGCCAAGAGAATGATGCCAAGCTTTTTCTCCTTACTTCCCCGGCAGGTGGCTCAATGCTGATTTCTGCAGTGTGCTGCTTCTTTCTGTTCTTTGGCAATAGTGAGTCTGCGATGATTGGCTTGCAGTGTCTGTTCTGCGGGGCCAGCATTGCTGCCTGGAATGCCCTGGACGTGATCACCGTGGAGCTCTATCCCACCAGTAAAAGGTAACTATGCTGAGAATATTCTTCTCTTTGATTTTTATTCTCTGACTTCAGGCACAGCCACTCTCATCTTAAGAACCCATTACTGAGTTAAAACATATGTGATGGAAGGGTTTTTTTTTAAATAAATCTCAGGGGTCCTACTGTTCCTGTGGAGACTTTTGATCTGCACAGGTATTCAGAAGTAGAAGCGGGCAAACAACTGATTTTTTGGTTTGGTGGCAGTTCTGGGAGGAAAAAAGAATCAGAAAACCCCCAAACAGTTTGGGTCTAAATGAATCTAAAGATATTCAGAACTGGGAGTGAATCAAAGAAAAGCCCATTTTGGGTCTGTTCTGGGGGAGGCAGGGAGGAGTTGAAAGTGGGTCTCCTACATCTCTGGTAAGTGCCCTATTCACTGGGCTGAAGGTGATGTGGAGATGCAGATCAGGGGGGTGGTAGTAGCAACACCACCTCCTCTTCCTCTGGCCGTTTTGTGAATGGCCAAAACGATTTGTGTCAAATTCACAAATATTTTCCAGTTGACCCAAACTGCATTTTCTATCCAATAAACTGTTTTCTGAAAAACTTTGCCCAGCTCTATTCACAAGCTCTATTCTACATGTAATATAACTTGCGTACATGAATTTGCCCAGGCAAGCGTAAATTACGCACAGACAGAACTTGTATAGGAAGACTCTGTCAATTGCATGCATGTGATTAGAGGACAGGTTGAAGCCCCTTTGGAAATGTGTCCTCCAGTCTCTTGTCACAGTGTACCACTCCTGATTATTTTAGCTTCCAGTTCTTGCAGACAAGCCATAAAGATGTGGATGTGGGAAATGAGGCACCGTATTCAGGTTTCAGGAGTGAGTTTTTGAGAGAAGAGGATAGTGACAAGTCTCTTCTGCCCTTTTCAATCTATTGATGACAGCTGTGAGGGAGGTACTGGGACAGCACTGGGCTCAGCTGCTGGGTGAATCAGGGTGTGGGGGAGCACTCTGTTACTCTCCAGCCGCCACCCACTCTAACCAGCACTTGGAGTGGCTTTGACAAGCTCTAGAGGAAGCCGTGTTCATGGCTTTATGTCCACAACAAAACATTATCCATGACGTGAACTCAGTGCTTTATTTGTAATGAACGAGGTGCCAGCACTCAAGCAATTAGGTGCCGGGACTCAAGCAACTTTTTTACTTTCATAAGTGATGCAGCAAGCCCAGAGGTGTCGGGGCTTTGAACTGCCAGGCCCAGAGGTGTCGGGCTCTGAACTGCCAGGCCCAGAGGTGTCAGGGCTCTGAACTGCCAGGCCCAGAGGTGTCAGGGCTCTGAACTGCCAGGCCCAGAGGTGTCGGGACTCTGAACTGCCAAGCCCAGAGGTGCCGGGGCTCGAACTGCCAAGCCCAGAGGTGTTGGCACAAATTGTGGGGCGCAAATTAAGCACTCCATGAAGTCCAAGAGATGGTGGTGTGGACAGAAATAAGGCCTGCCAAATACATCCTGCCTTTGCCCTCCCAGAAAGCTCAGGGGCATTCATTCAGTCTGGCTCCAGTTACGTGCTGGGAGCATAGATTCCGCATATCAGATCAGACTGTTGGTCTACTCAGCCTGCCATCCTGACGCCAGCAGTGGCCAGTATGTGATTTTTCAAAGGAAATTGGACACTCCACGACATGCACCTGAGCAAATGTTCAAGTCTGCACTTGTGGGGATGGGGAAATTTGTTGACAATTGCAGGTGAACAGCATGTGCTCTGATGCATGAGGTTTCATTAACTTCCATAGCTCAAATCAGGCTTCATTAAGAGCGTAACCATTACCACACTGGATGCCGGCAGTCATCCTATAATTAGAATAAGAGCTGCTAGTATTAGAGGACTCATGCAATGACCCAACTCTCCTTTAGCGACAGAGGAACCAACCAAATAACCCGCAGTCCTGTCTGACTCCTAATCATCACTTTCTGCTCTTCCTCTCCTGCAGATCAACAGCCTTTGGCATCCTCAACGGTCTCTGCAAGTTTGGTGCCATCCTGGGGAACTCTATCTTTGCTTCCTTTGTCGGGATAACCAAAGTGGTTCCCATCCTTCTGGCCTCCTCTGTGCTGGTTGCGGGAGGCCTGCTAGCCCTGAGGCTACCAGAGACTCGAGAACAGGTCCTGATGTGAGCAATTGGGCAGCAGGGAAATAAAGAAGAGCTACAAAAAAGAGCCATGTCTAGAAAAATCAAAATGTCCATTTATCCTTTGCTGCTGATACCTCAGCTATCGGGGGGGTGGGGACAACCCCTAATTTAAGACCACTTCCCATCCATGATTGGCTCTTTGCAACCAGCGTACATACACACTGCAGAACTTTGCTCATTTGCTTTAGATCCAACCCACACTGGGGAGAGACTGAGGATCTGTCCTTCCCGGGTATGCATGGGCATAACTGACACAAAATATTAACAGCAGCATTGTGTGTGCAGGCATCAAAGGGGAGAACAGATTCAAACCCTTATATGCCCTGGGTGAGTTGCAAAAAAACATCTGCATTTCCGAGCTGTTTCAGGCAATTAGCACAAGCTGTCCTGGCTTGCAAAACAACTGGAAGATAGTTAACAAACCAACTCTGCTGAGGTTAGGTCTAGCTTTGGGGTCAAGATTTCCAAAAATGACTAGTGATATGGAATATCTTGATTTTGGGGGGCCCAAGTTGAGACACCTTTCAAGGGCCTGATTTTTTAGAAGGTAAGTGCTCAGTGCTGTCTGAAAATCAGACCCCTTTATATTATCTCTAGTTGGGCACCAAGAATCACTAGTCATGTTCTTGATCTGGGATATTTTTTAAATAAAAAATATATCCTATTTCAAGTTCTAATTTTAAATCTCTATATTGTTCTCATTAAGAAGAATCTAAAACTAAAACAAAACTAAAACCAAGTCCCACTAATCCAAGACATCCAGAGCAATCCCTAGGAAGAGACATGTCATTCTTGTCCAGTCAACAGTTCTTTAATGGTGTTGATTTTAGGATATTTGTATAATAGGGATTTTTTTCTGCCTAGTTCTGTTTAAGAGAAATTGGCATGATGTTGGGGATTCTGCAAACCAAATGTGTATATATTATGCAGTGTAAATAGGGGACAATTTTTGTTTAAAGTCTAGAGTATGGTAACTACTAGAATTTACCAGCATTTTAGCCATATTAGTTAAGGAAAATGATGTTTGAGTTTCCTATAGATTTGGGTCTTATTGAAGCACTGTAAGCACAATTACTGTATTTATAGCCTTGTAACCTGGTGTCTAGAGAATGCACTTAGCAAACTTTCATTGTACAGTACATTTAATTGTCTGATAAGTGGAATAATTAAGTTCTAAATCCTGTAAAGATTGTTCTTGGAATTCCTATATTCCTCATGATATGACTTTGGCTTTGCCACACAACTTGACACAAAGTGATACAGTAGAATCTCAGAGTTACAAACTGACTGGTCAATCACATACCTCATTTGGAACCGGAAGTACGCAATGAGACAGCAGAAAAAAAATGCAACTACTGTACAGTACAGTACTGTTGTTAAACGTAAACTATTAAAAAAAAAGGGAAAGTTTAAAAAAAGAGATTTGACAAGGTAAGGGTGTGTTTCATTTAAATTAAGATGGTTAAAAGCAGCATTTTTTATTCTGCATAGTAAAGTTTCAAAGCTGTATTAAGTCAACATTCAGTTGTAAACGTTTGAAAGGACAACATAATGTTGTGTTCAGAGTTATGAACAATGTCCGTTCCCGAGGTGTTCGTAACTCTGAGGTTCTACTATTCATGTTCAGTTGCATTTTTGGATATATTTTTTGGAAGCAAGAATGAAAGGCAAAAAAATAAACAATCTTCCACTGCTCTTGACAATATAGATAATGCTAATCAGACCATTAGCAGGCACAGAGGCTGGCTGACATCTAATGGGAACCGATGAGTGATGGGAAATTTGTGTCACTATGACAGTTGGTGACATAAAAAGCTGTTTGGTACTATTGCCACTGTCGGGTTTGATGGAGAAGTGGTACAGTGCAAAGAAAAACCAAGGTTCCCATATGTGCTTTTAAAAATCACTGGTTCACATTTGAATCCAAGCTGAAATTTGACAAAATCCACAGGGATTTCCCATTTACACAACAAGGCAGCAGTGAAATGAGTTATAATGGCACAGTTACCATGCAATAATGCATCTTACTACTAGGGATGATCACTAATTTGACTAACAGATCACTAGAAACTCACATGCTGATTGGATTCTGGAGTTATGTGGATCACTTGTTCTTTCTTTCTCCTTTTTTCCTCATCCACCCACTGAGTTGAACTGCTCTGTCCATGTGCTCCCTCTCCTCTTTCATGACCTTCAAAAGCCATATTGATCTCCCCCGCTGGGTTCCCTGCCTTTAAGGATAGGAAAGAGGCCACTCTGAATCCCCTATACCTGGGTTAAAGACTTTAAAGTCTAACTCCTCTGCTGCACAGAGGCAGTTATATATAAGCAGTAACTCACAATAATATTGTTCCCTAATACCTGCGGGATTCATTCATGGCACCACTGTAAGGAGTATATTTTCTACAGTAGAAGTATACAGAGTATATGTAAATGATTGGAAGCAAATGTTTCTGTGACTCCTTGCCCCGACACTAAATCTCCATTGGGTTTCACTGTTCTGTGGTCGTCTCAAGCAAGGAAATTGCAATAAGTAATTGTGAAGCTCCCAGGTTACAACTGGCTATAGATTTTTCAGATTTAGGTTGAGGCTTATGAAAGTGACAAAATCATGAGCTGCTGTAATAATTCTAGGCTTCTTATGCCTCCTGTCTTCAATTTATGGATAGCTTTGAGTTTGAACCCTTCTCTACTAGTCTTCAAAAGGGCTAGGTCCAGCTTTCTTTATGCACATCACACGGTCCCTCAGAAAGGCTGAAGCTAATGCTGCTATGTCCTTTTAAATATGGCAACAGTACACGGGCACCTCCTTAACCCTTTCGCTGCTGCTGAGGATTGTGTCCCAGAAAGCAGTGTTCCCTGAAAAACATCCTATCCTTTCCCACTGCTGGAGGTATCATAGAATCATAGAATATCAGGATTGGAAGGGACCTCAGGAGGTCATCTAGTCCAACCCCCTGGTCAAAGCAGGACCAACACCAACTAAATCATCCCAGACAGGGCTTTGTCAAGCCTGACCTTAAATATGTACTTCAGCACTGAAGAGATCATAGACTTTCTTGTGATTAAACCACTATCAGGGTGACTCACTCCATTTGTCCCAGTGTATTTGGGGAGAATGTTTCATGTTCTGGGCAATTGTGTTGCATGACTCTGTGATGTAGCGGTCATCTTTATTAATTTTACTAAGCATTGTTAGTCAGATAAGTGTGTAGTGGTGGGACATTCAAAAGTACTAACCTGACCCGATTGTGTTCTGCACTGACTTTGTACGACTGTAGCCACGGTGTTTATGTTGAAAAACCCATCAATTCGCTTCTCAGGAGGCAGAAACTGAGATCTTCAGTTATTAGAAATGAGGAAGTAGGAGATGGTCACTGAAACTTTAGAAGCCTTTCTTCTTCCGGGGATTAATCTTCCCCAGAGTCTGCATGGTGGAAGTTTGGATCCAGAGGTTTGTGGGGACAAAGTACTAAGCAGTAGACAGTGGGTATCAGGCTTACACTAGCCAGGGGCATCAGCTAGATGATATAATATGCCAGTTGCATCTCTAATGTCTATGAATCAATCACTCAGAGGTGCACAGGATGCATCTTGATGGATAGTACAGTCCTTGTCTGTGAACTTTGGACGAGGAGTTCACCAGCCCAGTTCTAACGTGAGAGCTTAGACACACACTGCATCTGATAGCTAATATCACAATAGTCTGAGAAGGGATGATACAGTGCTAGGGATATAACAAAGACTGTAGCATGGGGGAATAAAGCCCAGCTTGTTCTTATTACAGAGATCTGTCAAATCCCTAAATACACCCTCAACACATCCTGTTTTTTGTTCACCTGCAGCCCAATTAGCTCCCTGTAAAGCTGCACCCAATCATCCAGTGATTTTATCCTCACCCTACTGCAGGGATCGGCAACCTTTGGCACGTGGCCCATCAGGGAAAGCCCCTGGCCAGTTCGTTTACCTGCAGTGTCCGCAGGTTCAGCCGATCGCAGCTGCCACTGGCCGCAGTTCGCCGTCCCAGGCCGTTTAGAGTTGTCTAAACTTGTATTTCTCTGTAAATAATATCCAGTGTGGTACATTTAATGGAATGTTTCATGTAGATGTTCTCTCAGCTGACTCTGTATGTGTGAAATGGCCAATTCCATTTCCTTGGTTTCTTTTCTTTCTTTTTTAATTTTTTTTGGTTTGATCCGTGTCTGACTGTCACTGGAAAATGGAGTCATTGCAATGGACTTTGTTTTTGTTCTGTCACATTAAAATCTGGAAGAAATAAAACAATTCTTGCTGTGTCCATGCATCAATGTATAGCTCGCCTTCTTCTACTGGGGCTGTAGCTGCTGACCTTTCACCTCAAAAATAAGGGTCTTCATTTGATGTAGGATACCTGTATCCTCCCTGCCAGTCCCAACTTGATTAAGTCTCATTCCTACCACTCTTTTGTCAGGCCTCATACTTTCTAATGTACTGTACAGAAAACCTCTCGTTTTGAAAGCAACCGATGGAGAGGGCACCCAACAAAAACAATGACCTCCAGACACAGCTAAATTGTGTCTTCTTGTAAGAAAATACCTCATAAATGAACATTTCTCTTTATAAGCCAGCCACATACCCAGGTCAATATACAACTCAGATCTTACCCAATAATCACACTGTTGCCAATCCTTTAGTATCTAAAATCTAAAGGTTTATTTAAAGAAAGAAAGAAAGAAAGAAAGAATGATGAGAGTTAAAATTGGTTAAAGGAATCAGATATGTACCACAGTTGCAAAGTTCTTGGATCAGGCTTGTAGCAGTGATGGAATAAATGGCTGGCTTAAGTCAAGTCTCTGGTTGCTTCCAAATCACTGGAATGTCCTCAGTGCCTTGGTTAGAATGCTCCCATTAGTGTAAGTCCATAGTCCAGAGGTTTGAGCAGGAAAGAGGCAAAATGGAGATATTTTCAGGGCCTTTTATAGCTTCTCTCAGGTGAAGGGAAACCCATTGTTCTCACTGTGGAAAAGTACAGGTAGCAAGATGGTGTTTGGGGTCACATGGGCAAGTCACATGTCCATGCCTGATTTCGCTTAGTCACAGCAGAAGACATTACCTATATTCCAGATGGAATGTTCACAGGAAAGTTTATTAAGTGTAGCTATCCCATGATCCATTGCGAGTTAAGTGTTCCTTGATGAGCCATTTAACTTGAATAGTACCTTCAAGATGTGTAGGCTAAATACCTTGTGGGTGCTACTCAGGAGCAAACATTTGAAATACAGGTACAGAGCCAATACTCATAACTTCAAATATAAAAACAATACATGCATATAAATAGCATAATCATATTCAGCAAATCATAACTTTTCAATTGACACCTTACTTGACCCACTTTGTACAAGATTTATTGCAATTATATAACAGTGGTAGCAACAATAATCTACATGGTCATATTTTAATCAGCTAACGTCACAACCACCGATCTAAAACAAAGCTAACACACACACCTCAATATTGCCATGGAGTCATCCATATTTTCCACCTGTAATTATATGTAGACATGGTTTAGGACATGCACATATCTAAATATTCAACTGTGCTTGCAAATCAGGTATGTAGACATCTAAGTGACATTTTCAGACTCAATTAATGGCTTTCTGTGCAAAAAAGGAGGCCAGATTGACATACAGGAGGACACAGAGTTGTAGACAGACTAACACATAGTATATATGTGTACACAAACACTGAAGCCATGTAAATTTATTATTCATCACAGAGCCCCATAACTGTAGAGGTACTTGCCCTAAGGAGCTTACAATCGAATTAAAAGAACATGTGCTACATGGGACAACGATTATGCACAAGGCAGCATGGAGATATCATCCACATGGAGATCAGAGCAGGAAGTCTGAAAAATAAGTGGGGCTCAAGCATAGATTTGAGCTATATCTACTATATAGGATGGAGTGCCAGGCCTGCCGCACAAAGTTCAGTTCTGGACATAGACTTCAGTGAAGTTCAGAGGGGCTTGGACCCAGGGTTTGACTTTGAACCATCTCTGATGTGGTGCTAATGAATTTAGTGTTGCTGAAAGATGCTACACTGAGTGCTCAAGTTCTCTAGCTACAGAACAGGTGCAACAACCTAAAGCGAATCAGAGAAACATTCAAGGACAAAGAAATATAACACCTTGAAACTGGAATTAATGAAACAAAGAGGTCACTCCGGCTCCATTGGTAAGACAACTTTCCTAATCTGAGATTTACCCAGGTGCCTCAGCATCCCGGTGGACTGCAGTTCTATGAGGTGAACCAAAGCGAGCATTTTTCCCTAGGGTGCTTACCCTGGCAAGCC